GAGGCTGCGGTATGGCTTGCTTTGTTTAAGACAACCGTAAACAGCCCATATGAGTGTCTGTCACAGGACATAATTCTATGGAATCGAAGCACACTACTTCATTCAAATTGGCTGAAACCGCACAAATACTTGCTTCATTTCGACTAGAATGGGTAAATTAAATTATATAAACAGTCCCGCCACTAACCTAAAGATCCGAAATCTCCAGAAAATTACACTACCTAACAATTTAACTCTTCAATCGTGAGTACGGTGATCACTTTCTCAGGCCCATAAATCGAATTGTCAACTGATGTATGCTTCTAATTAAAACTGGCAGTCAAGACAATGAAAACAAGTGCACATTTTGGGTAATCATCATACTTTATCGAACACTTTTGAGGGATCTTCCGGTCGACCCACAACGGCAGACATGTGCATGTCCCATACTGGTGATAAACGAGGATCCTGTTGGACGTGCAGGGGTGTAGTAATCAAACGAAGAGTCCACGACAATGCATCGCGTCAATCCAGACCTTGTGTGGAACACCTCAGAATAGTCTATTCTGGATGGAAATACCCTTATTCCGTGTATAAGCGCCTCCACTGAAAGGTCAGTTGTGTTTCAGGACGTCAACGGCTGACAAATGAAGCCACAGTATTGAGTATCAGGGTATCCAGAGCCGCGAAGAGCGAAACATACCGACGTTAAAGTATGCGGCGCTTCGATAATGACAAGTCTTGGTGGAAACAACAGTAGTATACATTCGAAGAAACTGGATAAGAAAAAACCAGGATGATTATTGCGAAACAACCCGTTGTGTTGGTCCACCGACCTCCGATGATTGGGTGGGTTTCCTGGGTGAGGAAATTAGTCTTCCAAACAGGTGGCACCCACCTGTTCTCTAATGTCGACCTAGTCTAAAATCATAGTAAACGGAACTGTCAAGTTACAATTTACGCTTTTCCGTACGTTAGCTATATGAAACACAGCATGGGAGCAGACACACAGTATCGCTCAGTAAAACGAGATTCATGCCTAACACAAGGGTCTCAATCGTGTAAACTGCACGGCGACCACATTGTCCTGCAGCAAAAGGGTTGCGCGCATCCGATTCCCTGAACCGAATAAAGAGGAATAGCCCATACGGGTAGCCTTATCAGCTCTAGTCATACATTTGTCTTTAACACTCAGTCAAATGCCAGGCTGTTGATCTGAAAATTATCCTGTCCACTCAGGGTACCAATGACTACTCAGATAAAGTTTTTACCTACTCACCAGTAGTCAGTAGCCATTTAAAAATCGAGCTCAACGCCCGTCCGGGTTGGTCACGCAGTTCCAGAGATTTTCTCACAAAACAACCTTGTTATACACTCATTTGCAAACAAATTTGGTTTTACAGTGGACTCATTCGAGCCCGGCCGAATCTCTCGTCGAGGAATTTATAAGAGTTTTCAGCAACCTTATGAGTAGTGTATTACGTCTACACATGTATCGCGAATATCGTACCAGCTGAAGCATGAGGCTGCCTGGAGCAGCACATCCCGTTGCTTAAGAACATCATCAAAAAACGAGAGATTCAGCTGGGTTCCAGGTGGGTTTCTCCCAAAAAAAATTGTTTGCAAATGAGTGTATTTCGCTAATTCCGTGCAATTTGGGTTCAATTACAATATAAGGTTGACGGAGACTCGGGGTGTGCACCTACCTGATTAGCCCGAGGAATGGTGAAACATGCCGTGGGCTGTCGAATAACTTTCAGCAACCTTATGAGTATTGTATTACATCTATAACGTGGTTATCCTCATTATCGTAGGCAAATTAACAGATCTGGCACTACTGACTGCTTGTTTTCATCTGGATCAATTTATTCCCACCAAAGCCCAATCTGTACACACAATAAAAAGATAACTCAGTGGTCCATCGATCAATCTGTTTGGCGCCACAATCCTGCTCTGTAAATCACTTTTGATGGGGTGGCATATACGAAGCTATGGTTATTTTCCGATCCATATATGAAAAAATTGCCAAAATATATCAACTGTCACAATGTGTCAATTCACTCTTATCTATTTATTGGGTCTATTCACATGCGACTAGTTCAGTATTCAGAAAATCCTGAAAGATCCAACTATCTGAAAATTTGAATACTATTCTGTTCTTCCTTCCAGATCCATACGTCAAACTGTCACTCATGTTGGGAGGAAAACGGATCAAGAAGAAGAAAACGACCATAAAGAAGTGTACACTGAATCCGTATTATAACGAATCTTTCGCTTTTGAGGTACCTTTCGAACAGATTCAGGTAAGTGTTCAGACATGAACTTTAATCGTTTCCTCAGCTCGAAGGTGAAACTATGGATGTTTGTCACTTAAAAATTTACAAAATTTGACGGTTGTTAAGGCGGTTAATGATGTATATTGTAGAAAGCGTTCTTTCACAACGAGTCCAAGAAAGTCAGCTTTAACAAGATTCTGGTATATATTGTAGAAAGTGTTCTATCACAACAAGTCCAAGAAAGTCAGCTTTAACAAGATTCAAATATTGGTTGTTGATCAGGTGGCTGTTGATCTGTTCACCGAGCTTGGTAGTTGACTTGCAAACGTTTCGTCACCATACGAGGAGACACCCTTTGAGTGCGCATTAGGGTGAGTAACTCCAGTTTGTTTCGGTGCGTTCATATAGCATTGTCCAGTTCGGCGAACAGATCAACAGCCACGTGATCAACAACCAATAAACTCACTCGAGTTACCGATATTTCGACACATTACCAGATTCAAACATATCAAGCAAGCGGGCACCATTAGATTACTCAATATTGATAGATAAAGAGCGGCCTAATAGAGAACAAGCGTCATACTCTATCAAGTGAAATTCTCGCAGGCCCATATCCGTTTATTGGCAAACGAGCCTAGTGTGTGAAACAGATGCAGAGTACGGAACGCAATCCCCTCTCTAAAAGATGCTGGAGAAAAAACTGTTTTTCTTCGTAGCCTTGAGTTTTAGAATATTTTCAGAACGGTGAACTATATTAGATTCAGAGTTAGTCTCACTGTTGACCACATTCCACTGACGGATGACTGTAAAGTCCACAAATTCTGATTCATAAATCCGTCAATCGAGCCCGTCAGTCAAACTCAATGTCCGTTTCGAGTCAATTCAAAGATAACCTTTCGAAATTTTGAAGGCGATATTTTTCAGAAAAAACATCCCAAACAGATCTGAAGATCTGTGTGGGTCACAGTAAAAGAGTACGGAGCTACATATTGTACAGTTCGATTAGGAAGATATTGTCGGAGCCATCGGGTCGTAAGAAGCATGGTGCTGAGATGAACGATGACTCTGGTTGGCGGTTGAACGAAGTAATTAATAAATGATAATAATGCTTCAGCTGTAGCACCCTTTCAGCTGCCATGCCACCCAGAAGATGCACGAGGGCCGGTTGCTAAAGCCCAGACAGGAGAAGTCAAAATAAAGAGGTCGTGTTCGAACTATGGACACTCCGGTCAGTAAATTTTCCTCTAATCACTGGGCCATCTTGCCCACTTGAGGAAATACAGCATGCGACGTAACCCGTTCAGGGAGTGTTAGTTTCGTTTGTTATAGTTGAGGAGGCATCAAAGCGCTTGCCCACCACGCAGTTAGTCACTGCATCCAGGGTCGTAGTTCAAGAACTTCTTCTCTCTAAGGAAATCCATTCAAAAAAACGGGTGAAAAGTGCGTTCGGTGTAAAAGGACTAACGCAATGATGGATGAGGCTAAAGTGAACAGGTAACTTTTTAGCTCTAATGACGATAGCATATACTTGAGAAAAAACTCCATACGATGTATGGGGTTCACCAGAGATTAGTGAACTGAATTATACCTAACTGTGTAATCATGAAAGTTGGGGAGTGAGGCTTCATTGATGCTATCCAAGGCGTCTGAGGGTGGTAGATTTTGACATTTCGAAGTATTATAGGGGGAATCGAAGACTCATGAGGACATTCTGCTAAGAAAGCTTGTGAAACACACATAAACGTTGAACATGATATGATCAGCTCCGATCACAAGTCATCAACATTTCCGTACATATTAAAGGAAAAATGGAAAATATTACACCTCAGACTAATAGCATAAGGTAGGAATATGAGTATTCTAGCCTGTATATCGGATGTGTCTGTTAGAGTATCGTATCAGCCGCAGAAGTCCACACCCTCACACTTCCAGTCAGCTGGTTCAAACCCTGAGACGATTGACAGCTTTATGCCATCGCATGCGTTATTCGCTTTTCCGTGCGATTTCTAAGGAACCAGTCAGGTTCAGGAGGATATTAACGGTGTAATTCCATATGGAAAGTAAGCATCCGAAGACGCGCCAAACATTTGTGGGCTGTCTTGTGGGCGGGATGGCCAAAGTGGTTAGAGAGCGAGTTTACCGACCGGAAGGTCCGTGTTTCGAACACCCGACCTCCCCTGTCTAGGCTTGGACAACATGGCAGTATCCCAGCCCCCGTGCAACCTTCGGGTGGCATGGCAGCTAGGCACCGAAAAGTGCTACAGCTGAACGACTTCGGTGCAGTTGTGTGCTTACAGTTTTGCTACTCACACTGACGGAATCCGGTGCATGATGGGAAACCGTACGTAGCTAGGAAAAGGGTTCATTTTGTTCACAATTATCAGTTGCACACCCTAAATATGCGCGAAACATTAGTGATTTCAATAAATTTTTTGATGAAACAAACCGAGTAAGATGGCTAAGTCTAGGTGTTCGTTCTCCAAACGTGAAACTATTTCTGGTTTTTTAAAATAACACGGTATAGTAAAATTGGTTCTGAATCTCGCCCCTCCCATCTTCCATCTATCACAGAAAGTATCGCTGATTGTAACGGTCGTTGATTACGATAGGATCGGGACATCGGAAGCGATTGGCCGCGTATGTCTTGGGTGCAATGAGACCGGAGCTGGCCTTCGCCACTGGTCGGACATGTTAGCCAATCCCCGTCGCCCCATTGCACAGTGGCATACCCTTCAACCAATGCCCGAGAAAAGTTAGTGGACACCAGAACAATCCCCATGTCAAACCGTCAGTCTACCCGTCAGATAGATCAAAGCGCCTATCTGCTTTTTTCCTCTAGACATGCTCACCAACCAATCTAACCACCAATCTGCACCTTCTAATCTCTAGTTTACCTACCTGTTTCGTTTCCCCCACTCTTCGGTTGGGCAATCGATGCGGGAGGACTATGCTCGTCCATCTACTTATGAAATTGCAGGCGTGTGTCAGGTTTATCCACACTGGTACACACACCGATTGATCTGTTTTGATAAATATTATCTCTTGCACGTTTATGGTTCAGCCATAAGCAAAAACAAATTACAACTCCCTCTCTCTCTCTCTCTGACCTGTTGCCCATCATTATACAAGTCCAAATTCTAACATTGTCCATCGCCCAAACACACAATCGTGAGTGTCTTTGTTAATGCGCCACAAATGTCGTTCAGTGCTTACGGTCTTCTTGTTCAAAAAGACTGCGTTTACTTTGCTTGTTGTGAACTGGCGATACAGCACCACCAACTGAACGTACGCCCCACCCTTCCACGTTGTTATCCGTGTTCTGTTATACTGCGATTTTCCTGCTAAACCTCCCATTTTTTCTCAATTTTCGTCCTTGATTTTGTTCAAACGCACCTCAAAACAAAAAAGCCAAATGTTTGTGGATCAGTTTGTTCTCTGCTAGTCGGCAACTTTGCGGCAGTTAAAAAATTCCATGGCTTCCGCGTTCAATCACCAAAGGGAGGCGGATCGACAACCAAAGTCATACTGGTCGGACATAGTCAATAGTTCGTTATGAATGACACTTACATTGCCGTCCACAGCGCGTAAACTAATCGATTAGTCTGTCTCACATTTAAGCCAGTCAACTGGCAGTCATATCGATCAATACGTGGACAAAACTAAATGGCATCTAAGTCGACGAACCTATGATCATTGCTTAAAGTCAGCAAAACTACATTGTTCAAAACTTTCGGTTCATTGATCTTCGGGTGCGACTGAGGTGAACCATGAACATAGCTTGCGAAATGTTGATAAAGCCTATCGTTCTCCTCAGTTTTCCCCACTTCTACTCACAATACGTGCAAATTTTCAGAAGTTATCACTCAAAAAGACTTTCTAGGTAATTTGTGAGCATTTTTGCCTCATATACAGAAGTCTTCGCGAAGATCAAGATGTGCACGAGAAGTCACCAACGCTACTTGGCTAATCCAAAGAACAGCTTCCCCAGATATGCACTTGATGTGTCATAGATTCCATCAATGATCCTCCAGTCACAGCTGAGATGCAATCGCTCCTAAGTAGCACTCGTTGGAGAGCTACGTCCACGACAGTTCACTTGATTCAAGTTCATTTTAGCATGTAAATTCGTCATCTGTGACGGCCAGACATTATACGTGCTTACAGGGACATCGGACTAAACACAGCACGGATTGCGATGCAATCAGATCTGTTTTAGCCATCGTTAACACCATTCCAGCCGGTCACTCTGCCTATGGGACTAAAAAAATCAGGAGCTTACTACAATCTGTATGATGACGTGAAATGGAAGTTGGTGTGAACCTTGAACAACTAAATGAGAAGTCATTTGAAGGTCGAACATATCCAGTGGGTCACATTTCTGAAATAAACACAGTGAAACCTCGCAGTTGACTAAAATATAAACCGACCACAGTGCTGAGTCAGTAAAAGACTATTCCTTATGAAGTCATGAAGTTCAACGGTGATGCCAAGTTACACATGGGCAGTCCTGGTGAAAGGAGAAGCACTCCGCTGCGAAGTTGCTTATCAGCAAACACGAACAAAACAGTCATTAGACACGAAGGTAAACATCTCATCTGCACGGTGTTTTAAAAGACTGAACATTCCCATGCGTAATATGAAACTTTTCTACATATTTGTCGATGATAGTAAACGAACACTACAAATCGTTCAGCTGTAGCACCCTTTCGGTGCCTAATCGCCATGCTACCCGAAGGAAGCACGAGGGCTGGGATACCGCCCAAGCCTAGACAGGGGAAGTCGAGAGGAAGAGGTCGGATTCGAACCACGGACCTTCATGTCAGTAAGTTTGCGCTCTGACCACTGAGCTATCTTGCCCCTACAAAGCGGCTCCACAATTTCCGTAGCAAACTTCACCTTCCACCTAATAGCATGCTTCACCAGTAGTACACACGGTGACACTGCTAGCTTGGTACACTACGAGCATTATACAAGAACAAAGGGTAAAATCCATGGTAGCCACAGTCATAACAGAGGGCCTCTCATAGATTAAAACCCCACTTGTCTGACACGAAACATGTGATCAAATCGAGCAGATAATCCGCCCCCATGTGAAGCTTACTTGCGGAGAGAGCAGAGTAGAGTAGAGTAAAATAGTGCCTCAAGACTGCAATCCCTGCGTCCACACTGCCTGATTCACAGGACCATTCTTTCCCTCGCAGAGATTTGATCATCAAACTGTCTGTACACATGTACGGACACGAATCCCTTCAAGAACGTGTGAGACATGATGGAAAATATTTACATACAGCTGAAATGGGCTCGATCGAAATGAAGAGAAGAATCGCGGGCGACAGACGACAAATCACTAGGCTTCATTCGAAACTTGCTGCTCTCGTACTGTTTTCGTGGGCCTCAGTTGGATCTATACCACTTTAGATAATCCACGTGGCCTTTGAAATTCGATGCACACACACTAGAACAAAATGAATGAGATTCAGAGAACAAGTGCTTGAAGGATACGCGTTTTGAACGAGAGTAAAAGACGACGAGAAGTTTGTGTTCCACATGCTATACGAAGTCGGCTTCTCATGGCTATTAGTGAGGCTGTGATGAACAATCGGTCACAGTCGCGGCATATGTTGTGCGCTTGAAGGATTCGCAGTCACATGATCAAACTGTCATCGTACTGGCACACTGACATCAGTACCGGTGTGAGAAGGAAAGTCTTTCGTCGCGGAGTTGCTTGTTAGTAAACGCCACTTAAACGGTTGCGAACCGTTGGACACGAAAATAAACATATCATATGCACTTTAATTTCAAAAACAGAACATTCTCACGTGTCTTCTTGAAATTTCGTGGATATTCAATGACCATCACGCACTTGTAAACGAACGCTGCAAAACGATTCCACAGATCTCGTAATAGACCCCATGGGAGTGCAGCTTCCATTAGACCCGAGGCAGGGTTACGCGGAACCCGCATACTACTCGCATGCCGCATCAGTAGTATCCACCGCTACACTAGCTATTTGATTATACACGCGGAACCTACTACTCGCATGCCGCATCAGTAGTATCCACCGCTACACTAGCTATTTGATTATACCCGCTTATTCCATGAGTCACCACCCAACTGCTGTTGCCACGCTCATATATAAACCTCGTTTTGCACAAACCACTGTCGTAGCAGTTGAAAAATAACGCGAAACGCCAACACATTGTAATACGTATTCCTGAAGTTTTGGCACAACCAATAAATGAAACTTAATAAGTTCACAGAATATCACTAGTGAAGCAGGAAATTGCATGTTTGAACTATCCATGTATTGGCCTATGGACTGACATCACCCTGACATTTGAAAGATAGGTGTTTTCAGCCAATTCGAGTTTCCGGAATTTTGCCGATCGTCACCCAGACAATGGTCAGTTTATGAAGACTTATGATTTGCTTAATTCAGAAAGACAAAAAAGCTGCCACTGACCACTGAATTCTTTTGGGTTTGGCTTAACAAGGAGCCAAACCACTGTCGAAATACCAGAAAGAAATGTAGTGTCTGGCATTTAGACACAATTCTACGAATATAATCGTTCAGCTGTAAATCCCTTTTGAAGCCCAGCTGGCATGCCCCCGAAGGAAGTACGAGGGCCGAGATGCTTCCAGGTTGAACTCTCTTCGAGAGGAGCAAGCGAGATGCATTCCAGACTTCCAAACGTATATCTGCTTTTTTGTCCCATCAAATTCCAGGCGACATGAGTTTCGAAAATCAGTAATGACATGATAACATGTGTACCCGTCTCGTCCGATATTACACGCTGACCGTCTGAATGCCCACCAAAGCTTAAATGGGAGGACACTCCTCCCACATTCACATTTCTCCAGCAGGCTCAGAGATAACACTTGTTCTGGATTATGCACACAAGCTCAGCCAAATCATAAGTCGCACGGCAATTGTCAATGGATCAAAACTGAGCGGGGCATTTTAGAGATAACAGGCCACAAAGCCCATATAATACAGTGTCACTGCTAACTAGAATGATACAAGCGAAGTATACCCACGGTCACGCTGTGTGGGCGATTGGCCGCGGATAAATGTTTACCGTCTGCGGTTTACTCAGCACCAGTGAAAACCCTATTCACCGACAGGCACCCTCATTGCTTGAGTGAATACACACCGGCAGGATATCTATCCACTGTACGCATGCATCGTCCACTGGCCGGGCGAGGATTTCTTCTCATGTTTTCTCTGTCTAGGCAGTGTTGAAGTAACGCAATCCTAGTGGTTTAGTTTCATAGCCATATCTTCCTTGTTTCATTGATCCTCCTGGCCACTCGCGGGTGCGTCTTCCATTTGTTCCACTATCGGGGGCAAACACAGGAACCTCGACCCATTGGTTTCTTTCGCATACAGTAATAGTTCCGCTGTAACAAACTTTCAGTGCCAAGGTCCCACGCCATCCGAAGGAAGCAAGACGGCTGGAACACTACCGGTTTGCCCGAACCTAGACGGAAGTCGAGGTCCAGGGGTCCGTTCGAGCCATGAACCTTCCAGTCAGTAAATTCGCGCGAAACCTGAACGCATGTAGTGCGTCACGCCTTGGACTACATCATACCTATTAGCGGTTTTTATTCCCAAGCATAAATAAACATTTCAGGTCGCGGAAGCCATTGCTAACAGTGGAATAAACACTGCTACGTACACACACAATTAGTGGCTAACTTGCTGGCCTTCTTTTCATTCAACTTTGAATTCACTATGACTGTATGTTATTCCACGCGCCATATTTATTGCGATTTTCCGGTTTGTTCACGCAATACATATCATTCGTGCCTGTGCTCACAACCCATCCTCGACCAATTCAAATTTATCGGTCTCAAGCGACATGTTCTCGCCGGCTGCCTACATCATTAAGCTACCTGCAGATGACGTGAACTACCTTATGCTCATAATTCAGTAACACAGTAGTAAGCGCTAGCTTGTGACCGAAATGTCATCGCGCAGGACATCTTGCATCAAATTCTGATCCTCCAAACATCCCTGGAAGATTCATTCGCTTCTTCACCTACCGCACAACGCTGTTTCATGTGAAAAAAAAACCGACGAGCGATACTACTGTTCATGATGACTTATCCCAAGACTACCACATTTAGATCAGTGGGGATGAGTGAACAGTTCATAGGAATCGAGGAAGAGGGTGAACCCAGCATCCCGATACTAATCCATAAAAGCAGAACAGCGGTCCCACGGTGACGCCAGACAGATTGTAGTTGTCAACACTGCAGGAGCCCACACTACAAGCCCTTTGTTTCAGCAGAAGTATTGTTTCCTCTCTTACTCAAGCCGAGGGAATTAGCAGCACTCCCGACAACCCTGTACTTCGGGAATCCCACATGCGTAAGAAACATTACCGTTGAAATCAGTCTTCGGTGGTGTTCTTT